ATGCCTGGGCTGACGGTAGTTCAATGGATAGGATGAACAAAATCAAATCAATCTCGCGGGAGAATATCCAAATACACTTTCGTCGATAGGATGATCAAAATAGAACGAATGCAAGCTATACGCGCGCAGTACTGTATATYTCGATGTTCTWTCKGTAGATCCATTWGRTTYTGTTYMTCCTTTSGATGGAAGTACCCTCTCTCTCTCTCTCTCTCTCTCTCTCTCTCTCTCTCTCTCTCTCTCTCTCTCTCTCTCTCTCTCTCTCTCKYKTTGTCTCGACCCCCGTTCGTTGGGCCGCCGCGCGTTATTCTCATTTACTTTTCGTTGGCCCGACGGTCGTGATTTTCAATTTTTTTTTCCCCCCCCCCGCCTGGGCCCACCACCTAGGGTCCCAAACCTGGAAACCGGGTATCGCGCCGGCGTCACGCGAGACCTGGATTTTTCCTTTAGTAGTATGTAGATGTAGATATAGAAGCCAGACTTGAAACTGATGTTTTTTGGGCTTCCATTTTCTTTTTGAGAACATAGAATTTCTTTCTATTGGCTTAAAAAATGACATACCTAAAAAATCAGTATAGTTACTAGTTAAATGTAAACGCTCAGGGATACACTTACGAGGTTCAGATTCTTGAGGAGCTTCGAGATAAAGAAAGGAAGGAGAAGAGAAGTTGAGCTTCGAGATAAAGAAAGGAAGGAGAAGAGAAGTTGGGGTTGCATAACGGAAGGTTCTAGGTGGGATTGATCAAGCACTCTGCTGGGGGGAGGGTTGGTTGGACACTATCCCTATTGGAGGGTTGGTGCCCTTGCGATAGTCACGGTGGATGTTGTAGGGGTACCTCTGGGTTGACGTAGAGCTGGGATAGGCCCCAGTGGAGGATAGTGTCGCGGAACCTGCATTAGAGGTTGTCTTAGGGAGTGAAGGTTGGTCTGTTACCTGCATGGAGAATACTGGCAGATTAGAATAGTCCAGAGTAGCTCCCATTGATCATAGAGCTTGGGGGAGCGGATGGTGGCCATGAACCCGCGGAGGATGGAGTTACTTAGAGTCTGGGGGATGCTAACAAAAAAATAAAATAAAATAAAACCTAGGATACCAGTCAGGCCACCCTGTCACCCTGTTTTCCCGAGCGGCCCGACCATTGTTGTAGGGAACCGCCGTGTCAGTGCGAATACCTCAGTGAGAAACTGAGGCCATGTCAGAAATTTAAGCAAAGTTCATAAACGACTCAGAACCCCCCCATCAATCCTCTTTACCTCACTCTGGCAAGACTTACTGCAGCAGAGCCACCATCTCCGCTGCTGCTGTACCCTAATTTCATCCTACGAGCTAGCCCCCTTACTAGTAGGATGCTTAATATCCAACCGTCTGCTTCTCCCTCTCACCTTTTCTTGAAAAAAAATAAGAAGACCTCCCCCTGCCAGCAAGGGTATCCGCCCTGTTTTTTTGCAAGTGACAGGATAGGAGTTTTGACTTGAAGTTTGAGTGCACCGCGCGAGTCACGACTGTAGTATCTTTTACGTTGACTGAATGTTTGATTGAAAGTAGAAGGTGTGTGGGCATGCAGTTTTGAAGGCGCACGTGATCTCCTTTCTTTGTTGATGATCATAAAGTCATCGCGATTACTGACCAATTAAATGATTTTATTTTTTTTTGGTACGTTTTACTGTCTGCTCGTGCGTGCACAGAGATGGCATTCGGCGTAACTAGCATCAGGCTTTGACTGCTAGTAGTGTGATTTTATAGGTGGCTATTTTATTTTTATCTTTATTTTGAAAGAGACATTGGAGTCTGTATAGTACGCAAGGTAGTGCTTAGTGTCTCTATGGAGACTCAGCCGGTTGATAGCAAGCTGCGAATTGTGAGCCGAGAAGGGTCGTGCTGCCGGGGGATCTATTTGGCACCTCATATCTTGAGGCAAATGCATATCCTCCTGACGTGTTGTGTCTCCGATCAACAGGGAACGGACGTCATTAAACATTGTTGAACCTGTTGAATCAGCCCCGGGACCCCCTTCGAGTCCCGTTTAACGGGAAAACGGGGGTCTGCCGTCGAATCCTGAAAAATGGATTCAATTTTGGGCGCCTTGGGGCACTGACACGTGGCCCTACGTGCCCAAACACTAAAACCAGAAAAAAAAAAACATAAAATTTGACCCCCCCTACAAGTCCCCAGACCTACCCGGAAGCCCTCTACATCACTACGAGCCCCAACCCCCCTTCCCCCACTCGCCCCATCCTGCGGCCCACCCCATCCTGCCGCCCTCCTCATCCTGCCGTCCCCAAACCTACCCGGAAGTATGTGTGTGTTTGTGTGTGTGTGTGTGTGCGCGTGATTGTTGGTGTGTGTGTATGTGTGTGCATGTGTGTGTGTGTTTGTGTGTTTGTGTGTTTGTGTGTTGTGTGTCTCTGTGTGTGTCTGCGTGTCTTTTTTTCCTTTTTTTGTAGTTGTTTTCATGTTTTTGATTTTTTTTAAATACATTAAGTTAAAAAAAAAAACAAAAAAAAAACTGTTGTTGTGCATCTTTGAAAGATCTACAACCCCATATTTTTTATTTGTTTTTCTGTTTTTTTTAGCCCTAAAAAGATCTCTGGGGAACTGAAAAAAACAACATGCACTCATTCCATCTTTTGTTGTTTTCTTCCATGGTGTTTATGTTTTTGTTTTTTTTAATATATTTTTAAAGCTTAAAAAAACAAATTGAAAAAAGAGGTTGTAGACCTCAAAAATATCTATAACCCCATATTTTTTGTTTTATTTTTTATTATTTTTAGCCCACAAAAAAAATAAATGCGGACCCCTTTGTAACCCATCTAACGGGCTTTTCAACTGGGATTCAACGTGGATTCAACGCGCGTTGAATCTTTCAACGCGGAATTCGTGTTGAATTGATTTTCGGACACACAGCTGACGTGAGCTCCTCGTTCCGACCAAGTATCCTTGACTCTCGTCAAGTGTCTATATGGAGACTCAGCCGGTTGATAGCAAGCTGCACTTACTGGTACCAAGTGCTAGTAAGTCTACTACAAAATATCGTGATGGCTCTCGGGGGAAGTTCCATCTGGGTTGTCAGTGCGCTCTAGATTGGTCAGCGGACTTTGAATTTAAGCTACTGGCAGGTCTCGGTCTTTGTGTTAGCCAGACCCCCACTGGCGGCCCCAACCCTATACCCTAACCATTAGGGGCAAGGGGCAACATGAAATCTCCCCTTCACAGAGAGAGGAAACTATGCTTGCAGGGGTCCACTCTAGATAGTCTTAGGAGTAGGTAGTGGAAGGTAAAGAAACAGAAGTTGAGAGAAGAATATAGAAAGAAAGAAAAGAAAAAGAAGGGGGGAAAAAAAAAAAAAAAAAAAAAAAAAAAACCTTCATTGTCGTGTCAAGTTGTCAACCCTTTTCTTTTTTTTTTTTTTTTTCAAACCAGAGACCTCTACTAGAGGGGGTGTTAAGAGCAGCCACCTCTAGTAACTGTCCCTGGCTGCTCCATCTAATGGTAGGGAGCTGAACCTGCTGGAAAACGGGTCCAGTGTCCCTGTACAACAGGATCAGTCACAAGACTAGCACTAGGGCATTCCGTTAGCATTGATTACCCCAGGTATTGTCGTGTCAACCTCGTCTCCCTAGCAGGGAAACTTATCGCCACACACACACACAGGGGGAGAGAGAGAGAGAGAGAGAGAGAGAGAGAGAGAGAGAGAGAGAGAGAGAGAGAGAGAGAGAGAGAGAGAGAGGGTGCTAGAAGATGGCAAGCGGAGAAGCTAAAGTTAGCTGTGCGCCTGCGTCTGAAATGCCAGTGAACAAGTATGAAGTGCAGGTCGTGGACATCTAGTCCCAGCGCACGTTGTGCATGCGCAAAGTGGTACCTGCCTCCGAGATTGGGAACTTGTTCTTCTTCTTTTAAACACCCTCTCGTGCTAGTGGTGATGATAAGAGCAGGCACTACTAGCACTGGGGGGGAGGCTCCATCTATTGGTGGGGAGCGTCACCTGCTGGAAAGAGGGTAACGTCTTCAAATCAAGCGGCGATCACATCATCGCCTAGGCAGCTCAGAAGGTACTATCGGCCAATCCTCACAATGCTTCTGGAACCACCCTGCCTGTGTTCTCCCTCGCCCCCGTAAACTCTCATCCACTACAGCCCCCTCTTCTCGTTCACTTTCCCTAAGGCCTCCCCTTTTTGTGTTTGGGCATGAGGCCTCTTTCGACTCAGTTATGGATTCCACTGAGCTGAGGACCTGAGGTGAATCCAGGACTGGCCGTATATGTGGCCAGGTGCGCCCAGGGAAGTCCTAGTATGAGTGTGCTCTGAGACGCCTGCTCAAGTGTAACCAACACTTTTTTTTTATAATTAAAAAGGCTAATTTTTTGAAGCCCAACCAATTCAATTACCTGTCGAATCCAGACAGGATGGCCTTGGAGGCCTTTTTTATTGTCATTAGAGTATTACGGGGAACCCACCTCGGGCGCCTTCATCTACAAGTGGTTGTTCTGCTGGCCATTGCTCTCCCATTCCCTTGCCCCTGTGGAAGGATTTGATGATGCCACGAGTATTGCAGAAGTGTGATCGGGTATTAAGCGCTCAGGGGAGGGAGCGAAAAAGCGTGGGGTTGGTGGGAAAGGGCTTTTGCCCTCCTCCCCACCCGTACTTCTTTCTGACTAATCTTTCTCATTAGGGAGGCAAGATGGATGGGGTTACCTTCGTTACTTTAACTAACTTTTTTTTTTTTTTTTTTTTTTTTTTTTTGGTTAAGGGCCATGTGCAAGGCTTCTATCCTGGTGGTAGTAAGAGAACCATCAGGATTGAGGCTTTGCCTAGCGGGCCGCTCCATCTATTGGTGGGGAGCAGCACCTGCTGGAAACCGGGTCCAGCGTCAACTTGAAATTATGGGGTTTTGATTTCCTTCAAATGGCTCTCATTCGAGTTGATTGGGTAGATTGCTCAAGAAGACTGTCGAAAAATAGCGCTAAGGAGCGCTAACACTCTGCGTGGTCGCAGCGGGCAGGGCCCGGCTGCCTTCCATGCGATCGGGCGCCCGCGTGGGTCAACGTGGGGAGCTTGAGCTGTGCGTCCTGCCCCAGGTTAGCGGTGACGCTGACGTGGCAGTCCCATCAGATGTGGGGTTGGTAGGGAGCGTGGGAGATCGTCGGCGCGAATTCTGCCGCGGTATACAGATGGCTTCGATGGGCGACAACCAGCGAGGGGCCACCGACTGGCTCCTATTCATTCAAGGAGCTCATTCTCGTTTGCAGGAGATGGTGGAGGCACTGCGATCACAACTGGGAGTTAGACCTGAGGCTGTTGGGGGGGCAGCTTCATCGGGTCCGCCGTATCGGGAAGTGATGTCGAACATGTTGCAGATTGTCTGGGAGCTGCAGCATCTGCAAACGGAGGGTCTCATGGATGGTCAACTGGAGGCTCTGAAGCGATGTTGCGACGACATCTTCGAGGAGGGGCAAGATGTGTACGCGGCGCTGGAGGAGTTCTACTTGGACTTGTTCGAGACGGAAGATGCGGATTACACCGATGCGTGCACCACTGGTAGTGACGACCTGGAGGAGGGTCGAACTGGCGTTGATATCGCCCTCACTACTGATAAAAATGCAATTGATAACAACATGTTCGTGCAGGTCCGGGGTATAGACATAAGGATCGTCAGCTTGGACTTGTCCGACAACAACGTCAACAACAACAACAACAGCAACAATAACAACAACAACAACAACACCAGCAGCAATCACGACGCAGGGATTGTGGGCACCGGCAAGATTACGACAGTCGAGCGCGACACTGGTGCAACGTGCACGCTGGATTGCAATAATAACAACAGTGACAACGACAATGACATTAATAACAACAACGGTAAGCACGACACTGGTGCGAGTGATGAAATCGTGAGCTCGTGCACGCTGGATTGCGGTAAAAACAACAGTGATAACGACAATGATCTTAATAACAACAACGGCAACCACATAAAGAATGTCAATATCGGCGGTTTGGTAAGTATGGTAGGGGTTTCCGTTTTTGTCTACCCCTCCTTCTCTCCGCCGCTGTCCTTTCTTCCTTGCAATCAGGTTGACGATTTGGGGGCTGGGCGGAGGGGTTGTCGGAATGGTCCGCTCAGCAGATTGGAAGGGTGTGGGGGACGGTTTGGGGTGGGGTGGGTGTGCGAGGGGGTGGGTTAGGTAGTGGTTTCTCCTATCACACTTGCCAGGTACTGGTAGGGTGCCGCTGGTTGAGTGCGAACGGGGTATGAGCGATGTGCACTGCAAATGGGATGTCTGGCCACGTGACACGTGGCGCTGTCAATTTCTGTTGTGCGGTCAATCTGGGCTTCGCCACGTGGCTACTACGGTTTTGGCTCCTCAAGGGAGGCCTGCTCTGAATGCCCCTTCTGCTTATGCTGTTCAATGGTCGTTGGGTGGTAAGTGAGTATTTTAGGGTGGGGTGCGAACTCATACTTTGTAAGCGACTGATAAATCGAATTTGGGTATGCATAAACTGCGATTCCGGCGGATGTGACGTATTGCCATGTGGTGAATTCTAGTTGGCAGTGTTGTGAATTCACCACGTGGCTTCATAGGAAGAATAGTGGTGTTAAGCGCTTGGGGTAGTCCAGGTGGTTTAATGCAGCTTCTGGAATGTCGGATTCGCTACATTAGATTCTCTAAATTCTCTATTCTGGCTACCCCCCCCCCCATGGCGCTGTAAGGTTTTGTGAAAAATATTATGCGGGCGGCTGAATAGGGATAATGATTTTCTTACATTGAGATGGGCAGAGGGTGATTGATGCTGCTCATCATGATGAGATCTGCGTGCTTACGTGTCCCCTTACCAGTTGATTAGGATCCTAAGGCTTTGACACGTGGCACGCTTTACGACAAACTTCTGTGTATAGGGACGCTGGACCCGATTTCCAGCATGTGTTGCTCCCCACCAATAGATGGAGCCTCCCCGAGCGTGCTAGCGGTGTCTGCTCCTATCAGCACCTCTAGCATCCAATCGGGCTGTTTTAAAAATAAAAATAAATAAAAATATATATATAAAAAAAAGAGACAAGGGGCTCTGTTTTTATATCTTTTTTTTTTTTTTTTTAATTTAAAACCCCCTTGCAAGGCCTCTATCCCAGCGGTGGTAAGAGAACTGCCAGGATTGAGGCTTTGGGTGTTGGGTTGCTCCATCTATTGGTGGGAGCGGCACCTGCTGGAAACCGGGTCCAGCATCCCTTTAGTACAACAATTGGATACAACGTCAGGGCTGTGGCCATCTTTTACTGTAGAGTACCCTCTATCCCGTGGAGCTGCTAATCAACCCTTCCTTTCTGGGTCTCCTAATCATCTGTTTCTTTTTTTTCTTTTTCTTTTTTTTTTTTTTTTTTGAAAAACAGGCTCCATCTATTGGTGGGGAGCAACACCTGCTGGAAACCGGGTCCAGGTCTCCTAACCATCTGGCCCAACCTGCACCTAGAAGTTGTCTGCTGTTCTTTCCTGTTCCAGATCTCCCTGCAATCCAGTAACCCTGTTAACCTCAGACTTCTTCCATGTGTCCGAAGCCCCCCTGTGTCTTGTGTCTATTTCTCTTAAACCCTTCTCAAATTCTCTACACTGCTCAGACTTTGGGCCTAGTTGCACTACTTGCCATATGCCAAGTTTGGAGAGTAGGCGCCTGGTTGCACTTAGTACTCGCCAAACTTGACGAATGCAAAATGTGTCAGACGGCTCGCCACACCGTCGACACAAGTTGTGGAGAGTGAATTCGGTTTCCCCGCCTGTGCACGGCGGTTTGTGGAGAGTGGTCCTCGGACCTCTCCACAAAACAGCTTTCTGGAGAGTGCAGGGCTTCACGAGTCGACATCAGGTAGACAATTTTTTTTAACTTTTCTGTAGAAGAAATATAGTGGTGAGTAAGTGCAACCAGGCCTTGAGTTCGACGCGATTCTCAGTTTTTTCACTCTCCACGCATCCGCCACGAAATGTGACGGATGGCGAGTAGTGCAACTAGGCCCTTTATGTTAGGGTTGTAAGTTTGAGAAGCAGGATTACTCAGAGGCCTGGATTAGTTACCATCGTGGGAGCCGTGAGTAAGTCGTGTCATAATTACGGAGGCGACCTAGAATGGGTCAGAAGGGCAGCAAGAGCTGCTGACCCCTGACCCATTCTGTCGTTTGCCTGTACTTCCATGTTCCTTCCTGTGATTTCCTTACGTCTTGATGTGGCTATCTTTGTCTTGTTCAGAGGTTGGCCTTTCTGGTCCACTGCGGAGATCAAATTCAGCTTCCTTGTCTCGGCCTCTCGTTTCTGCTTTCCTGTCTTGTCTCGTTGCTGGGGCTGTTGTGCTCTGCTCCGCTCTCCTTGCTTTCATCCTGTCTTGTCGTTTGGGTAGAGTAAGCCGAGCTTGAGAGGGAGGGGGCTGTGGGGAGGAGAGCAGGGGGGGGGAAGTTCTGGTGGGAGGTGAGGAGGAAGAGGTTTTGATATCTTAATCTCCCCAATTGACTAGCGATCAACTCACACCATCAAACTGGAAGGGGTGCGCGGGCAGTTCATGCTGATTCCCAGTTTCCCCCGTTCTCCTCATTTGATTGGTTGGATTTGACTGGAACCGGTTGGATTTGATTTTAGCTGATTCTACTTTGATGTGGAATTTTGTCTTTGCCCTGCTATAATTTCCTCCCTCTTCTTGGCTCCGTAGGGTTTCATCATTAGTGGATTGACTATAGTAGGGTGGAGTTCGAATTTAACATGGAGCGGGGTCGATTATTCCCTGTTGGGGAAGCAATCAATGCCCTTTGCTCATGTTACACTCTAAGGGCCTCGTTCGACACTCCTCGGGGCCCGAAATTCCCCAAGGAAATGCTCGTTCCACTCATCCTCGGGGAAGACGCGGAAAAGAAAATGTGAAAACATTTCCTCGGGGATTCCTCGGGGATTCCTCGTGGCCACAGCCATTTTGGCGATTTCTCCAAGGGACCTCCCGAGGTCCCTCGGAGGTCGAGCTTCCGGAAGAATCGGGGCGTCGATGGCAGCTCCTTCGACGACATTTTTCAATTCCGTCTGGTCCATCGGTGGTCCTGCCTGCGTCTCGACGGACATGTTGGGTCACCAACGTTCGGCTTCACTCCAACGGTTACCGTTTGCTGGCAACCGGCATCCCCCACGTCCAGAAGGTGCCGTCTTGCATCGTCGCGTTTGGCAATCTGCGGGAATGTCCCAACGGTCGGCAGATACGAATATTTCAGGCCGCACTCCAGCTCCCAATTACGCACTGAGCGTGGGAGACCGAAGACGTCTTGGGGGGTTTGTTGCGAAGTCGGGACGGCCGTTTGCAGCACTGCGCTCCGCTGTTATGTTGGCGCCCGCGTTGTCTTCCGTTTGCTGCCGTCGTCGTCGACTGTTTCATGGCTGACGTGTTCCGCAGGCTGCCGCTGCTGATCCTCGTTGTCCTGTTGCTGCTCCTCGTGGTTCTCTTCCGCGTGTGCATCCTTGGGAACGTGCCGCCGCGTCGACGCAAAGAAGGTCTTCGATGAAGGACGCCAGGATGGAGGCACGGCAGGCGATCCCCCGGTCCGGTGGGAGCAGGTCGGAGGGAGGCGGTGTGGGGGGAGCCTGTCGACCGTTGGCAGGGCCTCCCAGCGGGTTGGGTATGATGCATTGCCACCGCACTTGCAACCACTCCCCGGCTCATCGGACGAGGAGGAGGTGGTGGAGAGATGGCCACAAACCGTGTTGTTGGGCAGCGGATCAACGTAGGAGTGGACAGCCATGGAGCTGTGCGGGACGGCCGGTGGCGTGTACGAGCAGTCGTTCACTGAACTTCTTTGGCCAGGCCTCGGCGAAGACGAAGGAGATGGCCGCGTCAACCTGTCGTTTGGTTTGTCCACCGGGCGGTCTACAACTCCATCGCGCACAGTGCTCGTGCGACCCCACCCCGACGACGAAGGCAGGCAATTGACAGTTGTTGATCGATCAGCGAGGATGAGGGCGTTGGCGACTGAGACGGCGGGAACGAACCGGAACTCGTCGACGCCCCAACCACGGGCGGCCTCTCTGTCCAAGGGCGCCCAGGGTCGGCCGGAGTGGATGCAGTTGCCATCTCCCCTGTCTGCGGCGTCGGAAGTGGCACGAGGCCGTGGCGTCAGAGTCGACGGCGGGACCGAGTTCTTGGATGTTGGTAATGGTCGCGACGGGAGGGAGGTGTGGAGGGACCTGCGGCGGGATCACCGGCTGCGGTGAGAGGAATACATCACACGGGGGGTGGAGCGTCTTCGCGTGGGAGACCGGGAGAACGAGAACGAGACGGACGATCCACCGGCGGAAGCAGACGATGACGACGACGACAACGACGTAGAGTGTGGGGAAGGGGGGAGTGGTCACGCGTCGCCATCGTTGCAGAGCGACATGGCTGGTAAGGGTGGGAAGTCCAAGCCTTCCGGCCGCAATGCTCGTCCGCGGGCGAAGAAAGGGCAGGGAAAGGGGAGCGGTGGCGAAGGCGACGGTGATGCGGAGGAGAAGCGCAACTTCTGGTCCGTGGAACACATTATAGCCCTCATAAGGGCTAAACGTGACCAAGATGCGCATATGCAGGGGATGGGCCACGCATACGCACGGATGAAACCGCGGGAATGGAAATGGCAAGACGTCGCCCAAAGGTTGAAGAACGTCGGCGTGGACAGGAATGCGAAGAAATGTGGGAAGAAGTGAGACAATCTAATGCAGCAGTTCAAGAAAGTCCATCACTTTCAATCACCGTCAGGGGGTGCCGACTTTTTCCAGTTGACGTCGAAGGAGACGGTGAGCAGGGGCTTCAATTTCACGATGGATCGCGCAGTTTATGACGAGATAGAGGGGTCGACTGGGATGAACCACACCATCCACCCGAAAAACGTGGCAGACACTGGTGCGTCTGGCGGCGTGCGCCCGCCTTCGACGTCTTACGTGGATCCTGAATCGGTGGCGGATGGGGAAGGAGGTGCAGGGCAAGAAGACGACGAGGAGGGGTCGACGCGAGGCTCTTCGCAGATGACGGGCACCCCCGACGGTTCTGGGAAAAGGAAGAGCACGAGGCAGCAGACTTTCGAGGCGCTTACGGAATGCATGGAGAAACACGGGGAGCTAATGGCGTCGACGATGGAGAGTGCAAGCAAGCGGCAATGCTCTATCCAAGTTCGACAGTGCGAGGCGTTGGAAGCGGAGGTGGAAGTGCAAAGGAAGCACTATGCCGCGTCAGACGAAGTCAGCAAACTCATGTGCCACGCATTGTTGGAAATAGCGAAGG